TAACATTAATCCTTTATGCTTTTTAGCCAATGAATCAATAACGTAATTATTTTGTAATACTTTAGGAGAGGCAGGTCCTTCACCTCCTAATAAAACAAAAAGTGGTGCATTTGGGTCATTAGCATCAAGGAATTTTTTATTGACAAAGTATTGAATATCAAAGTCATTCTGGTTATTAGCATTGAAATGGTCCAATGGAACAGTATAAGTCATTGACTCAACTTCATTTAATTCTAATGTCATGAATGATTGAGATATTTGTTGCATTACTTGTTGGTTGAGTGAGAGTTTTGCGTAACTGCAAATAACACATAAAGCAAGAAGTAACATTGTTTTATTAATGTTCAGTTCTCCTTCTGTTTTCTTCGTTTTTAATACTGAAAAGTGTTTCTTAATGGAGTTTTCTTTTTATTATTAATTTATTATAATATACTATTAAAGTATAGTTTCAAGATCTTAAAAAGAATTAAAAAGAAATATTGAGTGATATAAAACAATAATTAATGAAACATTCAGTGGTCTTTTTGAAAGAATTGGATAAACCCATTACCTGGTTTGTAGGAGTTCTGTGGAGATAATGAAAATGAACTTGGCAATGAAGAAGGAAGACTTTCTTGTGATTGAAGAGAGCGTTGAGGAGAAATATCTCTATAAGGAGAACGACGGATAAATGAAATTTCTCTAGAAAGACTTCCACACCGTAATTTAGAGAATTGTATTGGTCTAAATGGTGATTCACTAACTTGAGGGCAAATAATTGGTTTAGAGTCGTTTGGTTCTTGTATTTCTCCTACAGAAGAACATTTGAATTTAGTTTTAAGTGGTACTTCTATTGTTGGAACTAAATCTTTTACACTAAATGAATGTGAACGAGTAGTTCTATTAACATTTGATGGATAAATAGATGCAAGAATATCAGGAAAGATTGAATCAATAAGACCAATATCATTATTAAATGAAGAGATAGAATAAACACCAATTGTTGCATGATCTAATTTACCTTTTAATCCTTGTTTTCTAATTCGATTTTGATTTTGTGAATGAAACTCTCTTGTGTCTTCAGTTTCTTTAATTATGAAGTCATCCATAGATACTACAAATTCATTCAGATTTGCACATGACTGAATTCTGGGTGAAATAACAGTGTCAAGAATAACTTGAGGAGAAATATTTTCTTTTTGTAAACGAAGGTTATCAGCAAATCCATCACTTGTAACAATAATTATATCATGTAATTCTACATCAATAACTTTTAAATAAGCTCCTGTTAGTTCTGGTAATAAATTAGGGGTATTCCCAATTCTTCCACCACATTCTTGAGTTGATTTAATAGAACGACACCATTTTTTATTAATGCTAAATGTTCTACCAATAGCAGATTTATATATAAATGCTTCACAATCACCAACAGAAAGAATAAGAGTATATGGTTGAGTAGAAGTAACAGTAATAACAGTTAGTATTGTACATGTACCATTAGGTAATATTTTAGTATGGTGTTGTTGTATCTAAAAGAATTAATGAAAAACTATTCAAAGAATTCTGAAAATATCTTTAAGTTCTTAAGAAGTACACAAACCCGATCATGTGCTTGATATGTTGAACTAACTAATGCATTTGCAATTTCATGAAGTCTACCACATTTTGAAACTTCATCAAACATAGAAGATAATACAGTTTCAACTGCTATATGAGCAGCACGTGCAGATGTAACACCCCATCCACATCCATCTGCAACGACCATAACAGTACAATTTGTAAAACGTTCTATTCCAATACAATCACAATTTGGTTCTCCTTGTTTCACATTTTTAAAACATGGATAAGTACTAAATGAAGAAAGACTAAATGATTGGTCATATCCAAGTACTTCCTGGTAATCTTCAATGATATGTTTTGAAAAATTTCTTGTTGTAATACTTTTGATTTCTACATTAGGGACATCTTTTAGAAATGGTTTAAATTTTTTGTTAAATATTTTAGAAGAATTACCTTCCATTGTTTGCTTTAAAAAAGAACAAAATGAATAAGGAGTTAATGAAAAATGAGATGTTCATTTTTTTTTTGATTTTTAATGAAAGAATGGTTAAAAAATTAGTTTTGTTTCATTAGTTATTAACTCCCATTTTTTCTACTCTTATCATTTCATTTATTACTCCTTTAACAAGTTTACTGTTTTTTCTTCAAGAATTTATGTGATCCATTTCTTTAGGTTAGCTTTCTATAGAAAATAAACACTAAAATAAAAATGAAGTAAATAAGACTAGAATAATTCCTTGAGACTTGCTAAAAACAATTTACTTTATTAACTAAAACAAAGTACCTCTCTAAACAATAAACTCTTTGAACTTTCATTTTTTTTTAAAATGACTAAAACAAAATATTCTTTTTTCTTGGGATAACAAAAAAGAAAAGTTATAAACCATTATTCTAAATTAATAAATATCTCTTATAACATTATTTTCTCATCTCAATTCTTCTAAACATAATCCTTAAATATTCTTTTTTTTTTGATTGTTAATATCTTTATTAGTTAAATACTTGATTGTTATAAATTTTAGATTTTTAATTCAGTCATCAAATATTGTATATTTCAATATATTGAAATAAAACCTATATACATTTGTAAAAGATTTATTCATAAATATCAAAATAAAAATTTTTAGAATTATTTTATTATATCTATAAGATAAATTGTGCTAGTGTTAAAACCTCTTTTTAACTATTCCCATTTAAAATAATAAATAATAAATCAAAATTTTATAAATTTAGTTATAAGGATTAGTTACTAAATAGAAGTTGTTTTTATAATATCGTTTTTTTCATTGTTTTAATTTTTATTAAATATTGAATTTTATTAAGAATGATAAAGGATACTTAATATAAAAATTAAATACAATATTTCATCCACTTTTATGCGTTTATACTGTCTTTTTTCCTATTAACTTTTTTTGTATTTATTTTGATGCAAATGGAACTTAACTAGAATATATTCAATAAGTCTAATAGGCTAGTCTTGTTTTAGTAACAAAAACCAAAGAATGTTTTCAGTACTATTATAATTAATTCATATTTATGACATCTAAAACAGATGTGCTAATAATACTTTTTAAACATAAACTAACATTGTTGTCAGTCACTCTAATATAAATCTTTAAGAAAGAAATTTATAAGATAGAGTTATTTTTCTTTTAAAATAACGTTGAAGAGAAATCATATTAAGATATTTATAAAAGAATTGACGTTATTTATGAACAAGTCATAAAAAAATGAATAATAAATAAAATAATTAATTAAAAAAAAATATCAATTTGAATATTTTTTTATTTTCAATTGACAGAATCTGAAAGTTTCTTAATTTAATAGTATAGAAATTCTAATCAATAGATGCAATTTCTAACAAAAATTTTATGAAAAATCATATTTTTATCTTAGTTAATACAAAAAAAATAATCTGAGTTTCATAATAACTTAATTATTGTTTACATAAATAGGTAAGTATTTTCTTTAATTTTTATATCGTAAAATAAACGTATTGGTTATTTTTTAATAAATAGTCTTCTTAACCAATTCTTCTGTAGATATAAATTTTAAAGACAAATATAGTAAATCTCTTTGATTCATAAACTTTTTCTCCATTCAAATGTTCTAATTTTATCATATACTTTTGATTAATAAAAAGAAGATTAAAAAATAGAAGTTTATTTTTCAATAATTCATAAAATTTGAATGATAAATTAGAAAATAAATTTTTTATTTTAATTTAACATGAAAAATTCAAGAGGTTAACAATAATAACAATATGTTAAAGTTGGCTAAGTTCTGAAAGGTATTGTTGAATTTCTTTATTAGGTGTAAAGACCAATGGTGTTTCTTTTGCTGTAAGAAGCATACTCATAATATGTGATATTTTATCTACTTTAATCATATTTAAAGAGCCATCTTCATAGAGAGAAGGTAATTGAGAATATCTAATAATTTCACCCATCCATAAAGCAGTAACAGGAATTTTAGGAGAAGAATGTTTTTCAAAATCTAATTTATAATTTTTGTTATTTCCTGAAATAGAGAACAATTGTTCAAGTTCATTCCATTTATTTTTTGTTGAACGTTTCATTTCCTATTTTATATTAATTTTTAATGTAAAATATAAAATAATAATAACAAACAATCCATCCTTGTGGTTTAGAAGTACAGTATTGATTCAAAGAAGAAAAGATCATATAAGCAACATTATAATCTCCATACTCAATACAATCAACAGCAACTTTAATAAAGAATGAAAAAATCTTTCTTTTAGGAGTATTTTTAACAGAACAAACAGTTAATGATTCTATTTTCCTTACTTTATTAATATAATTTTGAAGTGTTCTAAAATGTTTAGTAGTATAAAATTCACTACAATATACTGTTTTTAAAGCTTCATGATCATATATCATTAATTGAGCTGCAACAATTTTATGATGTATTTCATATAATGTAAGTTCTTTAACTTTATCAACATCCTTTAATTCAATTTGAATAAGACTTTGAATTCCAACTCTTCTTGGCATAGTAAATTGTTGATTTTTTTCTAAACCAATTTTACTTTTTATTACAGGTTTCATCTTTTCTAAACTTTCTGTGAATTTTTCAATAAATAATTCATCAAATAAATCAGATTGAAATAAACAACTATGAACTAAACTATCATAAACATTAGGAATAACTTCTTTAAATATTTTTGTCCAACAAATAAGTAAACGTGTAAGTCTACTTTTTCTAAATGGAAATTGTGGATCTTTTTTACTCATTGTCTTTAAAAAAAGGTCATGAGTTTGGTATATATGTTCTAGAAATTCTTGAGCATTTAAATAAACAAAACACTGTAAGAGAAAATATTCAGGACTTAGTAATGGTATATTAAAATAACTATTCCAATGAGCTTCTTTATCACAACTTAATAATACTCCATCAGGCGAATAAACTATTCCAAATGATTTTTCATTAAAAAGCTCTTCTGTATAAGTAAAGAGCATGTGCATAAAACGTCTACAATTTAATGGATATGTGAGGTCTTCTTTAAATAGGAATAAAAGAAGTAAAGATCGTTTTTTATGAAGTCTTACAATAACATCAACTAAACGTCTTAACATTAGTCGCTTGGGTTTATTCAATCCCCAAATAAGAAGTTTGGTATTAACAAAATTTATAGTCATAAAAAGATCATTTCTAGTATAAAATCTAAGATTACTAAATTCCAATAATTCCAAATATTCTTCATCACTAACTCCTTCTACACTTTTGAGTAAATCATCAACAGAAATTGATCCTTTTTTATAATTTGCTGATAAATGGCGGGGACTGTTCTTAGATGATCCAACACTAATATGGACTTTTTCATTTAATGGTGTAAATACCCCACTACTATTAAGGGGTAAGTTATCATAACTGTTGGACTTCATAAAATGGGGTTTTAAACTTAGATTTTCTGATCATATTTATATTTAAATAAAAAGAAAATTATTGTCATGAGAATTGTTTTAATTCTTTTATTATAAAATTATGAATATACGTTGTTATTCTAAATGATATTAATAGTAAAGTAAAATAGATAATATTATTTAATTCATACAACTTATTTTCATAAAAGTAATTAACCATGAATAAACGCAAAAATTAAGTAATACTACCAAAAGGAAGGATCTTTTTTTGGAAACAACGTTATTATTTGAAAAAATAGGTTTATTTTCTCACTAAAAGGAAACGAAAAATTAAAAAAAATGATAATTAATTTTAAATATTTTCAAGAGTTACTCTTACTTGAATTATTTTCTGTTCTTTATATCTGTTTAAATAACTTATGTTTTAGAAAAGGTAACAATTCAGACAAACAACATAATTTTACAATAACAGACATTTTCTTTTCTTATTTGTTGTTTCATTATCACTATTACTTATTTTATTCTCTCTACTTCGTTTAACAATCATTTGGAATGTTTCGTCAACATTAATTCTTTTTTTAGCAGAAGTTTCATTGAATCCAATTCCTTTTTCTTGAGCAAAAGTTAATCCTTTTTCTTTTTGTACAGTGCGTTCATTATTTAAATCAATTTTATTTCCAACTAAAACTATTTGATGATAATGATCATCTTCTTTTGTTCTTAAAATTTTATCTACATATTTTTTTGCTGTTTCAAATGTTTTTTCATCAACAATACTATATACAATAAGGAAACTATTTGTTTGTCTGATATAAGGATCAATCATTGTTTGATATTCTTCTCTTCCAGCAGTATCAAGAATATCTAAGACGCAAACTTTCCCATCAACGTTAATATTTTTTCTATAACAATTTTCTATTAATTCTATAAGTTTTTGAAAGGATGTAAGTAAAAAAAATAAATATTGAAATTTATTTTTTCGTTAATATTAAACTAAACCAAACCTACTGTCGGATCATATTCTTCTACAAACATATTCATTGTAAATTGAATTGTTAATACTGATTTTCCTACACCTCCATCTCCTAGTACCATTACTCTAATCAACTCAACTTTATATTCTTCTGTCATTTAATCTTTAAGATGACAAACTAAAGTTCTTTTTATTTTTTAATGAAAAAAACAATAAAATAAGAAGAACAGTTGATTGGAACTTTAATTCTTTTTTACAACTTTAGATGCATTTTGATGGGTAGATGTTGATGACTTGGATAATTCTATTCCTAAAATTTTAAATCTACGATGTCTGTTCAATAAAAATGAATGATAATCATTTGAACATGATGATATGAATATTTCTTCTTTCATTGCTAAGTCAGAGGCTTGTTGTGGTTCATATCCCAGTTTACAAAGATGTTGATTAATTAATTGATATGTTCTATAAAATTAGAAAAGTTTAATAATATATTATTACACAATAAACAAATACAAACCCTTGTCGATGAACAATTGGTACTTTAATGTCACAATTTTCTTTTATTATAATTCCTTTAAGAGGTATTGTTGATGGACCTTGTTGTGAATATGGATTTATTTGAAATAATCTTTTTCTTTCTTCTTCTTCCCATCTCTTTCTTTGGAGTGGTGTCATATTTTCTGGTTTTGGTAATATTGGTGGAGTAACAGTTTCTTTATTCACTTCATCTTGTTTAACTGTTTTAATTTCTTCTTTAGGTTCATTTATACCTTGAGATTGAAATTCTTTTAATTTTTCTTCATATTTATCATCATATTCAGTTGTTATTTCCTCTTCATTACCTTCATTCATTGGAATCGAGTCGATTTGAAAATCATCAGTTGCATTTATTTCATTTGAAGAATTAATAATTTGTTCTTTTGGATTTGGTTGTAATGGTGGTTGTATTTTGTTTTCGATATTTCTTTCTGTTTCTGGTTGAAACAACCCACAGCCATCAGACTCTGGCATTGTTGGTATTCCATTTTTATCAGTAAAAATATCATTAAGAGGAACGTCGTTTGTTGTTTGTTTTTGTGGTTGATGTATTTGTTGAATAGGTAAAGTAACGTTTGTTGGTTTATTTTCTGTATTAGTTTTTGGACCAAATGAATTTATTTTAACAGGGACATAGGGTTGTATTTTCTTTGGAGTTTGATATTCCATTACAGGTATTTGTTCTGGTCCTGTAGATTCAAATGAAAAGAATCTATAATCATTTAGATATTGTGCATTTCTATTTGTTTGTGTAGTATTATTGCTTTGATTATTTTGATATCCTGACTGTTGAGAATTTAGTGGAGTTTGATATTGATTCATAAATAATTTGATTTAAAAGTTGGAATTTTTTTTGAAATGAAAAAATAATTTCTATAAATATTTGTGTTTATGTAAAGATTCTAAAATGTTTATGTAATCTAAAGAATCTAATTCCATATTTGTTATAAGAAAAATTTTAATGAATCAACTTTTCCATTATTCCAATGACTGCTCTAGTTATTCCTTAAACAAGACTTTAGTTGGATTTTACCATAAAAATACTGAAAAATTAAAAAAAAAATTTTAATTAATGATATTAAAAAATGCCTATATTCATATGTTCTTAGCTTTTCTTAAAGTGTTCTTTTAATTAATAAATGAAAGAGATTAATATTTATAAATATTTAAATTCGTTTTTACTTTATTTTCATAATAAATTGTAAAAATTTGATTAAATTCTTTAATAAAATAAAATTTTAATAATAGAAATAATAAAAAACTTTCCTTAATTCTTCTTCTTTCTATGAATAAATTTTGATTAATAATTTGTTATTGGTTTTTTGATGGTTTTAAATTTTGTTTTTTAAAAAGAATAAAAAAAGAATAATATAAACTTCCTTACTATTAAGTTTTAGATATTTTATAAATTAATTTACTTTAAAGTACTTATTTACAATATCAAATTTATTATGTTTTAATTCATTTCTTTAGTTGAGAAATGAATTATTAATATATGAAACAATGAATTTAATAAATAAATTTCATTCTTATTTTACATAATAAATTAAAAAGAAAAAAAATTTTTGATACTAAACTTTTCCATTAAGCCTCTTGTTTTTGATTGAACTCATTTATTTTA